AAAGAGGGAATCATTCACCCTAGACTGTCTGAATTTGAATCCCAACTCTACAAGCTGACATCTCGGTTAAGTTCCCTAAGATCGGGTCCGAATGTTATTATCTGTGAAATACACACTATGGTAATACTTAATTCACAGTTCTTAAACATGCAACACACTTAGAACAGTGTCTGTCAAACTCAAGAAAACGCGAGGTATAAAGAGCTCAATATGAGAACTTGGATAAACACAAAACCTGTCATGGTGCTAGAAATACAGACTGAATAAACATCCTTGCCCTCATGGAGCTTATATTCAGGGGGTAGAGCAGCCAACAAAGTAAGATAAATAAGTAAAATATAGTGAAAAGTGCTAGGAAGGAAACTAAAGCTGGGGATGCTGGCTGCAGTTCCTGATAGGGTGCCCAAGGACAGCCCCTCTAAGAGCGGTGTCATTTCAGTAAGATTTCAGACAGTAAGTGCCAAGGCCCTGAGGCAGGGCCCCGCCAGGTCTGTGTAAGCAGTAACAAGGAGCGCAGTATGGCTGAAGCAGAGGAAGCCAGGGGTTGTGGAGGCAGGGCCAGAGAGGCAAAAAGGGGGTGGGGAAGGCACACAGGACCTTGTGGTGGTGGCTCGGTCACCAAGCCGTGTCTGACTCTTGTGACTCCATGGACTCTAGCCCGGCCTCTGTCCACAAGACTTCCCAGACAAGAACACTGGAGTGGGCTGCCACTCCTTCTCCAGGGGATCTTCCCGACCCAGGGATCAGACCCGGATCTCCTACACTGCAGGCAGACTCTTTACAGACTGAGGGAAAGAGACCTCAGGGAAGCCTTACAGGACCTTTAGGCTCTGGCTTTTCCTCTGAGAGATCATGTTAAAGGAGGACTTTAGACATAGGAATGATGTGATCTGACTTACATTTTAACTCTGATGTCTGTATTAAGAAAAGACCAAAGGGGCAAAGGAGAAGGGGATACAAATGAAGAAACAGAGACAACTGCAATAATCCAGGCGAGAAAGGATGGTGACTTCAGCCAGGAGGTAGTTTGCCATGTACCCTAGAAAGAGGTTGGCAAGACTTGCTACTAGTTTAAATATAAGGGGGGCATGGGGGGAGGACACAAAATAGAATATTCAGAATGATTCCAAATTTTTTGGTCAAGTGACCTGGATGAAGACTGAAAGAAGAGACCAGAAGAGATGCCACTTACTGAACTGGAGCAGCAGTTTGGGAGTTGGGAGGAAGATCAGGAGCCTATTTTAGACACAGACATTCAAATGGAGCTGCTGGGTAGACAGGTGTTATGAGAGCAGTCTATACTTGAGATATAATTTTGAGTCATCAGCTAACATACAGTATTTAATGCTGTGGGGCTTGAAAACAATGGTGGATAAAAAGAGAACTGTGTGCGGAAGCATTCCAGTATTCAGAGGTGGGAAAGACAGGAGAAATCAGAGAGGAGAAAAAGATGAAGGAAGAACCAAAGAGGCAGGAGGAAAGTCAGGAGAAACACTTGAAACCATTTCAAGAAGTAATAGTGATTACATGCTGCTGAAACATTAAAATCACCAATAAGTCCTATTGCTCCCACCTTCAAAATATATCCCAAATGGTTCCCATTTATTCCATTTAGTTTCATCATCCAGATCTCTCCTGGAAGTCATCAGAAAACTATTTTCTATACAGTGATGGAATTCCAGTTGAGCTATTTCAAATCCTAAAAGATGATGCTGTGAAAGTGCTGCACTCAATATGCCAGCAAATTTGGAAAACTCAGCAGTGGCCACAGGACTGGAAAAGGTCAGTTTTCATTCCAATCCCAAAGAAAGGCAATGCCAAAGAATGCTCAAACTACT